ATATATTGATCGAAACACCACGACTGAGAGCGAGAGGCGCGGGTCCCGGTGGATTAGGAGCTTCGCCATCTCGAGGGTTGACTGTAGAAGGAATGAACACAAGCTCGACTGTTTTCTGTCCCTCCATTTTTTATTTTTGATATTCTTCTTTTTCTCATTTGATTTGTTGAAAGAGCACAAATGAACTTGCCATGTATTTATAGAAGTGATGATAGCAACGATTCATTTTACTTGTACATAGAGTCTAGGTCTAACTAGATTTCTATATTATTTGGTATTTTGATTGTGGCATTTAAGATGGTGCTTCAAAGTTGACTTGTTGGAGGGCCATGAATGGGAGTGCAACCATTGTTTATTATTATAGTGGTTTCATTATATTTTTCTTCTATATTTGATTTCTTCTTTCATGGAGGAATAAGGTTCCATGACACCACAACAATCTTCGAAACATCTGATTCGAAAACTTCATTTTTTGATTATGCTGATTCGTACATAATATCTTTTGGTGCTTTACAACATGAGAATAGCTCGAAAAATCCATAATGAAAGTGTATATCCGAACAGAACAGACAAAACGACGGTAAATAGAAAGGATTAGATCAAGAAACATTATCCGAAACACTATCGATAAAACTGCCCAAGTAATCATACGACAACCCACCTCCCGACATGACCGCCGACTTGGGTTGCTCAAAGCCCTCACATTAGCCCGTCGGCCCGCATTCTCTAGTCCCATCAGCTTCACAAGGAGGCCCGTGATTTGCACGGCGACCGCCTGGTGGTTGAGTATGGGCAGAGGGATGAAGACCAGGTGTGTTGATTCTTGTTTCTTTGACATTTTGTTTTTCTTTTCCTTTTGCCTTTGATTTGTTGAGACTTGGGAGAGCACAAGTGAACTAGCCATGTATTTCTAGTAGTGATGAAGCTAACGGCAGCCTAAGGTCTAACTAGACCAGTTTTGCTATGAAGCCAACAGTTGGCTCCATAGTGGAGCCAATCTTTTATATACAACAAGTAAACTATATCATATTATAGTGGCTTCATAGCAAAACTGCTAACTAGATTTCTATATTATTTGATATTTTCGTTGTCGCATTTAATATGGTGCTTCAAAGTTGACTTGGGAGGTCCATGAATGGAAAGTGTAGCCATTGTTTATGTTATACAGTTTTCATTCACTACAAAAATATTGTCATTTTTTTAACGGAAAATCTTATAATAATATATTCTAATAAATGTCAACGTATATTTCAATGGTATAGCTTCCGTTGCCTGGAATGATTCAAACGGAAGTTCCAATGAAAATATTCCATTGGAATGAGTTTTCAATTGGAATTTTAGATGAAATTTGATAATTCTAACGACTATTATTCCAACGGCTTTTGACCGTAGAAATTTTCGTTGAAATATGCAATTTCCGTTGAAATTTCTATTTTCATTCATATTTCAACCGTTGAAATCGTCCAAATCCAACGAAAATTCCTATAGAAAAATCATTCCAATGGAATATTTTGGCATCAGGAGCGAAACTGGAACTGACTCCACCTGTTAGTGGACAAGAGCTAGAAGAGCTTATGGAAGAAAACCAAGAACTTCTATGATTGAAATTCGCTTTGCTTCGTTTGTACCTTTCAGTCGAGCCCCAATTGCATTGTATTTTTGTTGGAATTTTTGCTAGAATCCATTGAAAAGTTCCAACGGAAATAATAACATTGGAATTGCTATTAGAATTCCATTGGAATATATTTTCGTTGGAATTTCATCATTTTCTTGTAGTGATTAATAATTATACTTTTCTTCTATCCATATTATCCAACTATATATAATTCTCTAATGTGTTGAGCCTAAGTGGCAGACTCGAATGCTTCAGGATCATATGTGGCAAAATTTTAAGTTTTGTTGTTTGTTTGGATGAATATTAATTTTATTTCCAATTCAAAAGTAACTAGCTTGGAATATCCATAAATATACTGCATATTTATAATTCCTAGTAGGTCTGCCAATCAAAGAAGTGGGGTAGCTTAGGACAAATCCACCCCACCTTCTTTAAAACCCCTATCTCGGATATAAATAATTTTAGCATCTTTATAATAAAAATTAAATTACTTATCAATAAAAAATAAAATTATTTAAATTAACTTAACTACATATAATAATATAAAATTTTAAGTTGTGTAAGTGACAATGTCAATTTAAATATAAATAATAATATATTTTTTTCAAAAAATATTGAAAAACTAAAACAATTTTTGTTTTTATTATTATTTAACTAATATAATTTAGTTAACAAGTACCCGTACAGTACACGAGTATTGTACTAATTATTACCTTTTACAAATAATAAGTTTTGTTTTTTAAAAAAAAGACGAAGAGTATCCTTTTATTAATTAAGTTGTGTCCAACTAGAACCCTTATATCAATATGACCTGACAAAAGTAAATCTGGGCATGTCTGGCCCAATGTACTTGGGCCACCAAAAAAACCCAAACGACGTCCCTACTGGTCTTTAAAGACATTATTTAGTAGCAATACACTCGTATAATATACCCAAGTTAATTAAAAAGAATATATTTAAATATTAAATAAAATATTTCTAAATTTGAATAATTTTTAAAAAATAAATTATTATTTTGTACATCCTACTATATTTTGTAACTCATCATATAATAAGCTTGTTAAATAAATTTATTTAATTGTTAATTGAAAATTTTATTTATTTTTTCACTTTAAATTTCAACAATATTTGTTTATCTAAAAATTCAAGGATCATAAAAAAATAATTAATTTGATATATTATATATAAAAAATTAATAACAAAATAAAAAAATTAGTTAATTTCAAATATATTTATGAATAAGTTATTCCGTTATTTATAATTTTAAAGTCCTAATAAGCATGGATAAAAGCTTATATCTATATTAGTTATACTAAAGCATATGACACTTAAAATTACGAAAAACACGTAAAATAACATTACTAGAGAAACTATGCAAACTTTTCGCCCAAAGGAAAATTGAAAACGCACACGCTAGTAAACAAATCTATATCTGAATCAGTCCATCCCAATTCGGAGCTTTTCTTCTTTTGTCTTTTTTTAAATCCACAACAGTCAAGAAGTTGATTCTGCAAAATCTTTAATTAGTGTGACCAAATGTATGTTTTTCCCTTAGATTTACCTTATCCTCACTAAAAGTGAAACAGAAAATTCAAGATGCTATTTTGTTTTTTCCTCTCATTTGACATAATCTTCTCTGTTAAATATGTAAATATTGAGATTGTACTATATGTTAGGATTAGGCTAAGACCCATATATGTATCTATATATATGTACTTCTCTTTGTGAATAATACATCATATATTTTTCCCACATTCTCACATGGTATCAGATTAGGTTTAGAATCCAATATAGGGTTAATATTTTTCGCTCTTCTCCGGTCGTCGTCAATTCTCACCTCCTATACCATCATCGCCGGCATCCTCCGGCGACCAAACGCTCCAAATTTCGGCTCGTTTGGCGGCGCGTGGGGCCCACACGCGCCCGATTTCTGCGACAGCGTCGGCAGCTTCAGCCGGCGCGTGGGGCCCACCCCCAGCTCCGATCGCCGCGATTTTTCAGCCGTAGACTCCCCCCTTCGTCGGCTACGTTCTAGTGTGGTCGGTTTTAGTTTTCGTGACCTTTTTAATTTCTTTATTTTGTGCTATTTTGACGGTTTCGTGATCTGATTTCTGCCTATTTTTTCATCTGTTTCGTATTATTGTGTTGATCTGCTTTTTGGATATGGATCGTATGGATTTGCATTCTTCTATTAGCGTTGTCTTATCAGGAGACAATTATAGTGCCTTAGCCTAATTCTAACCTATAGTATAATCTCAATATTTACATATTTAATATTCTCCAAATCTCAACAAAACCAAAGTCCAAACGCGTTGTCGAAATTAATGTCTGAAAGGTAATCCAAGGATTCCGTCAAAGCATTCGCCCCAATTAACGTTCATCACTTTTGCGGAACATTCGAATGGGCACTGACCTCATTGAATTTTTTTTATTGTTTGGTTACACAAATTTACACACCCGAATAAGTTTGTGTTAATTCAACAATAGATATAAAGTCTTACTTTTGCTGCCCCGTAGGACCTTGTAAACGCGCGAATGCAGAAAAAAATGATAAACAAAGCTAAGAACTTTCTTATTTTCTACTACTCTTTGTATAGTAACTTTTCAAAGTAAAACTTGTATGACTCCATGTCACTAAAAAGTAAAATAAAATAAAATATTTGACTACACGAGCTCATGTTTATAGATTAACTCATTTCTATGTTTGTTGCCAAAATGATAAACATATTTCTATAATGCATATTTGACTTATGATTTAGTTACAATTACAATAAATTTCTATCCTACACCGTGTGAATAGTTATTTATAATAATTATGAGCGTATGCTATCCGACGTATAAAAATTCAATGTGCATAGCCATTGAGTGGCCACGCAGGTGGAATAGAAATTGCGTTCAATTACATGCATAAAAATAATAAAAGAGAGTTCGTAGCAGATTGTTTTAAACTAGCTACGTGAGTTTTATAGCGAGCCTTTCAATGAGTCTACTCACTAGCTAATGAAGCAAATTAATATCATTACTCTCAAGTTTGATTTTTTTTTTTTAAATGAGCATTATTAAACTACTAAACAAGTATTATATCGAGTCGGTGCAAGGATGATTCGGGAATATATATATAGCTTGATTCATTTATATACGATGAAGATAAAATATCGAGAATAGTTGCATGTTAAGCGCCTGGTATTTCGATAAACATCATTCCCGTTCAAACATGACGATTCTTGGTCATCTTTTTATTAAAATCAAGATGCACTCAATT